TAACATAATGTACGTATTTGCAATATTTTTTTTATCACATTTGCCCTCCTACCAAGGTAAGATACTAAAAAAACTTTCACCATTGTTTCAATACTTCCTATCAAAAGGGGGGACATCAAATTTCAAATACTTCGAACTGTCACCCTCCCCCCCCTCATATGTAGACACTGTGCTTCCCACCTCCAGGACTGTAACATCCCTGCCTCTCCTTCACAGTGCAGACACTCTGCTTTCTACTGCCAGGACTCAAGTACTGCTAACTTGCATTACTGAATTTGCATACAGAAATATTTAAAATTACCTCTCTATGGTCTGAGCCATCATAGAAAGATGTGTGAATAGAATCAGACTTGGCATCATCCAATAGATTCGACGCAAAGCATAATCTAGGGTTAATCCATTAGGCCAGCCACCACCAATTTCACAGACAACTATTACAATGCGGCGGCCTTCTCCAGACATGCTGCACGATTCTATTCGAGACTTGCCTTCCTGAAAATAAGTAAAAATCCTTATATATTATCAAATATGGAGAAATTATTAAACTGATAAATTTCTGATGTTCTACTAATGAGTCATCCATAAACAGCAAAAATATTCAGGCCTTAGAAAATAGATATTCTAAATGAAAAGTTTGCCAAGATACAACAAGCCGAGAATATGTAGTGGCAAGTGTTAAGAAACAATAACTAATGTGAAAATAAATAACAACACTTAGCATTTAATTTGCATACACTGTGTAGTACTTAATACAGAGATATTAAACTGTTTAGTATTTGCAAATTTCCTTTCTTTTTCATCTGTCTAATTTTAGTTTACCCACATTCATATCTTTTCAAAACACTACTGTCTCTATGAAGTTAGAGATAATAAGATAGAGAGAGGATTGTTAACAAGGAGTGCTGGTTAAGATAATAGAGTGTTAGCAGCAACAAGTCTTCAATGAAGAGACTTTAGTAATAAACTGAGTGTTTCATATACCTCAAAGTTTGTGGCAGTCTTTTACATTTACTATTTCATTACAGATATTCAGTTTCTAAAATGTAGATAGTAATGAAGAGTAAATAACAAAAAAAGGCACAATACCGTGACTGGAACGATACATAAATAACCCGCACATAAAAGAGAGAAGCTTACGATGACGTTTCAGTCCGACTTGGACCATTGACAAAGTCACACTAACCAGAAGTGAAGCAGGACGGCTATAATAAGGCAGGAAGAGGTGGTGGTGGTGGTGGTAGTAGTAGTAGTAGTAGTTGTACTACTACTGCTACTACTACCACCACCTCTTCCTGCCTATATATAGCTGTCCTGCTCCACTCTGGTTAGTGTGACTTTGTCAATGGTCCAAGTCGGACCGAAACGTCGTCGTAAGCTTCTCTCTTTTATGTGTGGGTTATTTGGTAATGAAGAGTAAAATAATTGACACAATAAGCAAAAAAATTAGGTCAACCTCTACTTAACAGTTACAAGTTACATGCAAACAAGCCTCACAAAATGAAAAATTGCCTACCTCCCAGTCTGTCCAAAAGATCATTCCAACTCTAGGGTCAAGGGAAATAGCTCGTGGACTTTCCATGTGAGCAGCGATGAGTGTTCGCCTAAACGATCCATTCAGCTTGGCCACTTCTATCTGGTCCAGGTTACTCTCTACCCAGTATAGATTTTCTGCTAGCCAGTCAACAGCCAAACCTTCAGCAGTGGCTAGACCAGTCTGTACCACAACCTCTATGTTTGATAGAGCTAAAACAGAAAGTCATAATCAGTAGTAATACAAGAAACACTTTTACCATCATTCACACTATCACTGTCTTTACAGACGTGCGCAGATACAACAGTACGTGATAATTATCACAGAAAATATGAAGTGAAGACCAACTCTTTAAATGTTGCTCTTATGTGGTTATATTAATATAAAACGAATAACCAGAAAAAAAAAGATTAGTATTGGAAAAACCATTAAGTATTGGAATGAAATCATATTGATATGTGAAAAACCACAATTTTTCCTTCAGTATAAACGGATAATCAAATCACATGAAATAAAATTTCACAAATTTTGGGTTTTTACTAAATTAATACAAAAATCACTAAGAATAGTCTACCTTGGTGGGAGACGGCTTACATATTAAAAAAAAAAAAATAGTGAGTGGTAAGAAAAGACAGTAATAAAAAAAGAATTAAAATAAGTAAGAAAATAGGAAAGAAATTAATTTGATAAGATGTATAGTATATAAATTTACATAGTTAAATATTTTTTAGTATATTTTAAATTTATGTGAAGTTACAATTTTTGGTCCCATCTGATAGGCCATTCCTAATTTTGGCCTCTCTTTTTTTTTTATTGATAGAGCTGATCACAAGTTTAAGCAACCAACAAGAAATAAAATATTTTAACTGACATTAAAATTAAAATATACGACAACATAACACAAATATTTTAAGAAAAATATTGCTGTATAATAATTTAGACAAAAATGTGTTTAGATAAATTAGAAGACCTACAAATAGATGTAAACAACAAAAATTGGTTCTTAATCCTATACTTACAAAAACTTAAATTTTGTTTATGATAAAGTCATGAATGCTGCGTATCATTTATCATATATGACAAGACTAAATTAGACTGACAAAATGGATGAAGAGAGAAAACTTGTAAGAAATGGAATCATACTTTAAATTTTTATATTAAAAACCACTCAAAAATACTGTAAATAGGATCACAAAGAAAAGGGAATGAAAAATTTAATGATACTCAATGAAATGTGAATAATTACCTCCAGCCAGAAGAGTCCCTCGATAAATCTATCATCCACAACATCTGTCCAGAATATAAATCACCATCATCTGAGTGATAAAAGTCAAAGGGCAATGGTATTCTTGAGTGAGGAAATCAAGCCTTGGCTCCCATACTATTAAATCCTTAAGTGTTATACGCGTAGTTCGTGTCGGTTACTGAAGATGAGGTATGGGACAGCTGTGTCTGTAAATACAGAGGCATGAGTAGTACCATTTTGTCACCTACCACACTAAAATTACTTGCAATAAAGCACCACATAAAACATTTAACACACGGCCATCTCCACCGAGGCAGGGTTTGACCCAAAACAGAAACACTTTCACCATCATTCACACTAATACTATTTTGTCAGAGACCACAGATACGACAGTTCAGATAACCCTCCAAACAGCATGCATCCTCACCTCCTCCTTCAGAGTGCAGCACCGTACTTCTCACCTCCAGGACTCAGAGCTATTTTGTATGTGCTCACACTAATGTTAAGATACATTTAAAAAAATTGTGTCAAAGAGTTTGCAGTGTTTAATATTTTGAAAGAACATTATACACCTACAAACCGACTTACGACCGAGTTCGGTTCCGAGAAACCGGTCGTAAGTCGAAATGGTCGTAAGTCGAACTTTACTATTGAATATCAACAAAACATTTTTGTAATGACTTTTTTTTATTGTTTTATTTTGGTATTTCAGTTTACTTTACTTTTTACATTGTTAGTACTGTATTTTATACTGTTAAGGTTTAGGAAAACACTGTGTACAACACAAATAGTTGTTTATTTCCCAGAAATTTGCATAAAAAACACGGTTCGTAAGTCGGTGGTTTGTAAGTCGAGCAGGTCGTAAGTCGGATGGTAGGTGTATTATATATTACAATGCAGATATGAAATGCAAATTCTACACAAAGATTTTTTAAAAGTATTCTTAAACTTTCAAGAAAAATCAATAATTTACCAACCAGTACTTTTGCAGGTAAAGTGATCTGGTTCAATTTGTAGCCTTCAATACACACACATTTGTGTGAATTTTTTAGTGGGAAACACATTTTTGAGAGCAAAGTTCCCCACTGTTGGGAAGGATTGGGGATCAGAGCACATACGACCATCCTGCAGCAGAGTCTGTCCTTTTGGGCATGTGCACACTGGTCCGCCAGGGCCTTGGATACAGTTCTTGTGAACAGTCCATCAGTTGACAGTCAAAAGCTCCTAAAAGAATCTCAATAAATACAGATATTGCCAGCATTATGTCGTGTTAAAAATCACTATTTTCTTCATCCAGTCAAAGCTTCAAAAAGAACACTTAACCACAGCGACCGCCTTTGTCAGACCCATCTTTGCAGTGTTTATATCCATCGCAAAGATTCCCCGGTTGGATACACAAGGTGTTATTAACACAGCTATGACCTGGTGGAGCACACTTTACAGGGGTGCTAGGGCACATTTTCTCATCTGAGCCATTACTACAGTCCTCTTCACCATCACACTTTCCCTAGTCAGGGATACACTTCTCTAATGAAGTGCACTTCCATTCATTGTGTGAACAGCGAATCGATTCTGAAAAATGTAATATTCCATATTATGTTTATAATGTGTATTTCAAGAACAACTATTACTTTAAAATTAAGCAATCAGATAGAGGAGCAAGGAAATACTTAGGACATGGTTGACAAACATATTTGTGCAAAATCAAATTTACAGGCAGTGTTATTTACATGTGTCATTGCAAGGGTAAATATGGTCTAAGTTGGACCAAACATCATCGTAAACTTGTCTCCTATGTGTGGGTTTTATCTGTGTATTGTTGATTTTAAACATGACATTTGACATTACAAAAGAAGGAGGATTTGGACAGAAACTTCCAAAATGTCAAACTATGAACTTCTGAAGTCTTCGCACTTTGTGTATACATTAGACACTATGTAGAGGTCTTGAACATAAGTGAGATATGAAAAAAATAAAAAGTGTAATGAATACTTGTCAATACTCAATAATAACCCACATGAAGACAGAAACTCAGAAAATTAATTGATCTGTATATTCTGACCCCCTGCTGGGGTCCTCTTCAGCAGATTGGTGAGATATCTTTTTATAGTCGTAATTTTTATAAAAATTCATAGTGAATCTGGCCTTGGCCACAATATCAATAACATGAATTACATTTCGACTTTTATTTCAAAAATGTCTGCCTTGGCCAGTACATTATTAAGTAGTGTATTTTTCAAAACACTCATTACTATTCGACTTTGCCTATCTACTAATCTGCCACTACGTTGACATTACCCTGGCTGTCTACTAACCTACTACTACACTGACATTACCCTGGCTGTCTACTAACCTACCACTACGTTGACATTACCCTGGCTGTCTACTAACCTACTACTACCTGACATTACCCGGCTGTCTACTAACCTACTACTCACTGACATTACCCTGGCTGTCTACTAACCTACCACTACACTGACATTACCCTGGCTGTCTACTAACCTACCACTACACTGACATTACCCTGGCTGTCTACTAACCTACCACTACACTGACATTACCCTGGCTGTCTACTAACCTGATACTACCCTGACTGTCTACTAACCAGCCACTTCCTTAACATTAACCTAGCTGTCTACTAACCTGCTACTACCTTGACATTACCCTGGCTGTCTACTAACCTGTCACTACCTTGACATTACCCTGGCTGTCTACTAATGAACCTGCCACTAACCTGACATTACCCTGGCTGTCTACTAACCTGTCACTACCTTGACATTACCCTGGCTGTCTACTAATGAACCTGCCATTAACCTGACATTACCCTGGCTGTCTACTAACCTGTCACTACCTTGACATTACCCTGGCTGTCTACTAATGAACCTGCCACTAACCTGACATTACCCTGCTGTCTACTAACCTGCCACTACCTTGACATTACCCTGGCTGTCTACTAACCTGTCACTACCTTGACATTACCCTGGCTGTCTACTAATGAACCTGCCACTAACCTGACATTACCCTGGCTGTCTACTAACCTGCCACTACCTTGACATTACCCTGGCTGTTACTAACCTATCAATACCTTTGACATTACCCTGGCTATCTAACTAAGAGCCATTTCTAAATAAAATTTTAAAATATTCCCCAATCTTCTTATTCTCTCATGATTTAATAATTGTCTATGATAGACCAAAATACAGTTACTATTTCACTTCCAAGATGTGGGTTTATGGTGAAATTTCTAGTCATGGTAATATGATTTTTTGCTTATCACCTGACACCATTTATACACAGGGCTACTAAGCTATTACAAAGCCATTAATACACATTAATCATCTTTATTTAACATCAAACTTGACCTCCTTAAGCATTTTGTTAAGATTCTATTTTAAATGAAGCATGCTGAGTGTATTTTTGTTTATACTTATTATCTCTACCAACATAAAAGTGGACCCCACTTACAGTGTTTCACAACAGTTTTCAATTATACCCATTCTTCACTTATTCCTACTTCCTACAATAAAAATATTCACCACTCACTATGAGCAAAGGACGAAAATATTTTAGAGTAATGTGTGTATTGTTTATGCAATTTTTAGGCCTAGCTCTATTGCTCACTTAGTGTTCAGTGGTCAGTCGTCACGTGAGGTCACAGACCCTGAGCTGCTTGGGATTAGCGTGGACGGTACAAGCATGGCTTGCTTCTACAGTGTTTTAAAAGCTGAGTTGGAGAGTTGAAGGAGGAGGTCTTGCTTCTCCAGGAGGAGATTAGGAGGCTGAAGTCCACCTCAATGGGCCTGGGAGAGAGTGTGAGGTGGTTTGGGAGATGTGGGGAAATGAGGCTTCTAGCAGTGAGGTGGCAGTCTTTCTCTCACTGTGAAGGTTTGTAGGTGGGTGTAGCAAACGGCTACCAGCAGTGAGGAGGCAGCCCAGCACTCTACAAGTGGCGATTTTGTTCACAGTAAGGGAGTCGCATCAAGTAAGGAAAGTTAAGAGTGCAGATCTGAAGGAAAGAAATCGCTTCTCTGTTCTCCAGGAATGAATGAAACTTCAGTGGCCAGTGAAGGTAAGGGTACTACTGCCCCTGCTAATGAAGGAAAGCGCATTCTTGTGGTTTGGTGACTCTCAGGAAGATATGTTGATCGTGCTTTTTGTAATAGGAATAAGAAGATGAGAGATAAGTGTGCTTCCCTGAGCTGGTGTTGGGGACATTGTCAACAGACTGGATAATATCATGTCAGGTAATGGGAACAAGCCCATTATCTGTCTCAGTGCTGGGGAAATGATATTGGGAAGGGAAAGGAGAGAAGAGCTGCTAGATAAGTACAGGTCAGCTATAGATTTCATTAAGTCTAAGGGAGGGATCCCAATCATATGTAGCATCTTGCCTAGAAGGGGAGTAGGAAATGAATGGTTGTCAGGGCAATTGGTGTAAATTGCTGGCTAGACAGATACTGCAAGGAACTTGCAATCCCATTCATTGACAACTGGAACAACTTTAGGGCCCAAACAGATATGTATGCAAGGGAATGGGTTTCATCTCTCTGGGCAGGGGTGGTAGCACTTGCAGACTCGATTGAGAAGGCCATTGTGAAATGCCTATGATTTTAAACTGATGGAAGATAGAGGTATGGGTGTGTGTGGAAACAAGCGGGTTGCAACACAGGGTTGGAAACAGTAAATGTAAAAAAGGCATTCAGCATGAATTATAAATAAAGACAATAGAACAGTTTCAGCAAAAAAAGGGGGGACAGAAAGGGCAGCAAGGGACTAGCTCCCTTAAGGTTTACTATACTAATACGGGAGTGTTAGAAATAAGATAGATGAGCTAAGATTAATTGCAAGTGCAGGAAACATAGAAAATTATTGCTATAACAGAGACCTGGCTCAATCTGAAAGATAGAGAGATGCCCTCTGAATGTCACATACAAGGCTATAAATTATTCCACACTGACAGGGCCCAACGGGGAAAGGGGGTGGAGTAGCGATGTATGTCAGAGACAATTTAAATTGTTGTGTTAGACAAGAATTAAATTAGAAGCGTCAGCCACTAAA